CGCGGTGATCTGAGTGGGCTCCATGATCCCAGTGCTATGGTGTCTGGGCTCAAAAAAGCCGCGAAACTATTGTCTGATGGTGGGAGGAAGGGAGGGGCGAGTGACGACATGGCTTACAGGGAATTAAAATCAACAAAGGTGGCTGTGCATCAGGGAGAAACAGAAACATCTGTCACACAGAATGGCCACCCCCAAAGATAAAACTCAAAACCCTGGGTTTAGCAGGCCGTTGATTTCACGGAGGGAGGGGGAAGCAAATGAATACAGAACAAATCTGGTCCATTTACTGTTTGGATCCACTCCATCTATCTTTTACATCTTAGACTGGCAGCAGATGGTGTAGCATGACTGATAGCCATCGGCATCTTCTGGGTGCTTAGTAGAAGATGCTGCATTACGATTGCTAGCCATCATCGTCAAGATGGTTCAATAGGACTGCCGGCAGGACTGAGTCTCCAGGAGACAAAACATGTCTGTTCAGGCGCCTCTGACCGAACTCACTGAGGAGTATGACGACAACGGATACCAGTCGTAATACAGCATCTGCTGCCAAAAGGCAAGGAGCTGCTGCTGTATAGCAATGCAGTCCCACGTCTGCCAGAACCCAGACAGCCGATGACGGCTACCAGTCATACTGCATCGTCTACTGCCAAAAGGCAATTAGCTGCTGTTGTGTAGCAATGCAGTACCACGTCTGCTGGCACCCAGATGACATATGGTGACGGTGAGTTGAGCGGGCTCCATGCTTGCCGTGGTATGTCGTCTGCACAGGTAACCCAGGAAAAAAGGCGCGAAACGATTGTCTGCCATTGCTCTCACTGGGGGGCGGAGGGGGACTGACGACATGTACCCAGAATCCCCCACGACACTGTTTTTGCCCCATCAGGCATTGGGATCTCAACCCAGAATTCCAATGGGCGGCGGAGACTGCGTGAACTGTGGGATAGCTACCCACAGTGCAACGCTCTGGAAGTCGACGCTAGCCTCGGTACTGTGGATGCAGTCCGCCGACTTAATGCACTTAGAGCATTTTGTGTGGGGACACACACATTTGACCTTATAAAAATGATTTCTAAACAACCAACTTCTACAAATTCGACCTAATTTCTTAGTGTAGACATATCCAAACTGGGTTTACAGCTGCTTTGCATCACTGGAGCAGTGCAAAGCAATTAGTGCATACTCCTAACATTAAAACTTCTTCCTCCATTTTTACCAAATTTCCCAGATAAACTCTACCTTGGGGTGAGATGTGGCACCTGATAAACTTGGTTTCTTTTTTGAGAAGTTAGGAGGAACATTCACAATCAAGCCTACGGTATAATGCAGGGGTGGCCAAACTTACTGATCCTCCAAGCCTCAAAGGACAATCTTCAGAAGTTCAAGAGCTGTGGCATGCTTGCTGGGGCTTGGGGCTTCAGCCCCACTACTGCTGAAGGCCCAAGCCCTGGCAGGCATGCCCTGCGGGGCTGAAGTCCCAAGACCCACCTCCCGTTGGGCAGAAGCCAGAGGCAATGCATGGGGGAGCACAGAGGGTCATGTGCCCCCCAAGATTTTTGCCAGGGTTTGCTGGCCCTGCTCAGTTGCATGGTGCCACAGGACCCCCTCCCTGCATGGCAGCTGCTGGAGCTGGCAAACTGGGAGCTATGGCCTTCGGGAGAGGCAGCAGCAAACAGCTGGGAGCTGCAGGGAGAGCAGTTGCTTTTGCTGCTGCCCCTCCCAGCGGAGCTAAAGGAGCGGCCCCTCCCTAAAGCTCCCAGGTGTTTGCTGCTGCCTCTCCACATGGAGCTAACACCTGGGGGTTGCTGAGGGTAAGGAGTGTGTGATTTAAGCTATTTGGGGGAGCAAACCTATAAATTGTGTCTCCCATTCTAAGCATGCACCAGTCATCTCTGGCAGAAGCCACTAGCCCCAACATCCTGCTGCAGGGTAGAAGCCCTGAGCTCCCCTCCCCCCGCCATCTGGAACATGGGGAATGGGCAGGGGGTGCACCGTGAGCTGCACTTTAACGCATGTGGCTCGTGAGCCATGGTTTGGCCAATGGGACACTAGCTTCAATCTTAACTATGGAGAGGCTACTGCTGCTGTAGAATTTTCTGATCTATTCAGTGCTCTGGACAGTTAAATGCAGGATGACATTGTTATCCACATTCAGGTTATTTCCAGACTTACCACACCATTTCACTTTCCAGTTACGATTAGCATCTACACCATGGCAACGAAACTGTGAGTTCTTTGACCTTGTTTTTCTCCAAAATCGATCCTAGTTATAATTTTTAAAATAATGAAAATAATTGACTACAGGTTGATAAAACAACTATGTACATATAACAAATCATCTATGTTGAAGATGCTCAGTGCAGTATTTTAACTTTCTTACAAGTCAATTATATCCTTAGGTTACATATAATAAAGTGGTGGATCAGATCATTACAGCATTCAAATGAGACTTCTGTCTATAGGCATTCCATCTTTTGGATCTTAATATGTTTTCAGAAACATTGGCCGAACTACTTACATTGGTCCAGCTAAAATGGTATCCATCCACATTAAATACTGGCATGATGTAGAAATACAGCTGATTTAGCATCCTTCTCATGGCGGGATCACTCTGATATGTCTGAAGAGCCTAAAGGAGGAAGTAAAATAGAAGTAGTTTCTATAATAAACTGACTGTAGGCAGTTAGTACTACCCCACAGTTTACTTCTGTAACAGGGGCTTGGCCTTATTGCATTACTGCTATTCCAACAACTGTGCTTGAATGAAGTATTGTCTGTCCATAAATGAGACTAATAGCAACACAGTAATGAGAATATATTCAGAAAATACTTTCAAAAGGAGATCATCCTATTGTTAGTTAATTTCAAACAGACAGGAGAATACTGGAAACTACTTGCTCTAAACAGAAACAAGTGCATTGAGCATTGGTGAGATGGCTGGGCAAAGGAGCTAAAAGTCAATGGACTAGAGCCTCAGCTGGCATGAATCAGTGTAGCTCGCACTAAGTCAATGAAGCTATGCCGATTTGTACCAGCTGATTATAGCACTTAATATTGGTGAGGTCATGACATATGAAAAGGTATCAAAAGGCAAATGACAATGGTTACATCATATGTGAGACAAAGATCTCTTAAATTCAAAACCATTAACCCAAATTACTTGTCCACTTACAATTGGGCAAATCCTGTAGCCTGCACCAAGCCTGTGTACCATAGGTTGAACCAGTAATTGAAGGTGGAGGAAGCAATTCTTCCCCTCTGCCAGACGCAGGAATGCAGTAGCCCATGCATGTGCTGCATTCCTGAACAGAGTTCTGGTTGGTCTATGTATTTGCAATTCCACCAGCCCCACAGATTCTCCTCCATTGTATGCAGAAGTGTGTAATCCTTGTGTAACTACCACCATCACTGGGCATTAACTACAGTGTTAAGGCTCCAATGCATCCAATGCAGTAAAAATGCTTAATCATGTGCTTAACTTTGAGGGAAGAAAGTGTAACACATTGAACATAGGCTACATAGGCATGCTCCCAGCATCTGGCCACCCTGTGCAATGTACCCACATCAGTTCCATTCTACTGAAGGTCCTCAAGGCCCACACAGGAGTTGTGGTGGGAAGAGCAGGATTTACTTAAAATTGATGAGAGCTAAAATTGTTACTCACAAATGCTAGGGCTACAGTATCAGGTCAGGGAATTTAATACCTATGCAGCTTGGTCCTGCAGATGCTCCAAGTGTGAAGCTCCCATTGAAGTCAAAGGATGATATTCTGTGTGATGTAGCTACAAGAATGCTCCCATAAATTCATAGCAAGGGATATTTAGGTTCGATATTAAGAAAAACTCTCTAACTGTAAGGATAAGTACGCATTGTAACAGATTACCTAAAAAGGGGTGGAATCCCTGTCACTGGGGGTTTTTCAGAACACGTTTGTCAAGCGCCTGTCATGGATAGTCTATGTATGCTTAATCCTGCTGCAGCATGGGGAGGGAGATGGACTAGATGATCTCTGGAGGTACCATCCAGCCTCTTCATTTCTATGGTTCTATAATTGGACTTGTCTGGGGACAGAGGTACTGGACACAACTCTTCCTTTATAGCAACCATGTTATTGTTTCTATGAACCATTTTTCTATACTATCTTTGTTAATATTAGAAAGCCACTTCAAGGCTCCCCATCAACATGGTTACAAATCTTTTTATTAGTGACACGGCTCTGCTGGACTAGCAAAAGATAATTTTGTCAGAATGGCAGGCTATGGTTACTCCTGCAGTGATGGCTTAGAAAACCAAGACCCTGATCCTTTAGACTTAAACATTTGCATATTTATGCAAATTGAAGTAAATAGGGCTACTCATACATGTAAAGATATGCATGTGCTTAAGTCTTTATAGGATAAGGGAAATTATAGATGCTGTAAAAGTTCTGCATTGCAATGAAACTCAAAATGTGGGTTAGAGCAACTGAGCATCTCTTCCAGGCTTTTTTGTAGGGAGAGAGGATTTAGTTGGGGAAGGGATAGACTTTTTTGCCGTCTTATGTTTTCTTCTCATTACCAAATGCTATCAAGTATGGTGGAAATCATGTCCCTATAATGAGGATTTCCATGTCAAAGATATTGAGTTTGAAATAGTCTCTAGTTTTTGTTTTCTGTATAGTGTTCTTAGGCTTCAAGTCATATACTGTGATTGTGCTCTTTTATAGGAACTGTTTTTTACCTTCGGTATTGCGATGTATATTGTATTACCAGGTTGACATAATATGATACATACTCCTTAAAAATCACACTGTAGTGCTTTTGGATGTCAGATTCTTCCTCAGCAGGGCACCCAAATAATATTTATAAAATATAAATACAGTACATAACAAAATTGTCATGAAAACTCAGAGAAAAAATTAAAAAGTAAATTGAAAAGGGTCATATGCTTTAAATTATATGAATAGTTGTAAAATGGTGACCAGCCATCTTTGCAGGACCAGGAAGCCAGGGGGTAGCCAGTCCTGTTTAATTAGTTCCACCCTGCCACACCTGGGTTGGGTACAGGAATTAAAAAGGGGGGAAGCCAAGGAGCTGGGGCTGAAACTGGATCTGGAATGTATGCCCAGCAGTGGCAGTCATAAGAACATAAGAATGGCCATACTGGGTCAGACCAAAGGTCCATCTAGCCCAGTATGCTGTCTAGTGGCCAATGCCAGGTGCTTCAGAGGGAATGAACAGAACAAGTAATCATCAAGTGATCCATTCCCTATTGCCCATTCCTAGCTTCTGGCAAACAGAGGCTAGGGACACCATCCCTGCCCATCCTGGCTAATAACCATCAATGGACCTATCCTCCATGAATTTCTCTAGTTCATTTTTTTGGACTCAATTATCAGGCCTTACGGCAATAAAAAAGGCTGTCTCCATATGTACAAATAATTGATTCAATAAAATTATATTTCTAATAATAGAGTTAGGGCTTCAAGCAATTAAAATAATTAATCATAATTAATTGCATGATTAATCGCACTGTTAAACAATACGAGAATACCATTTATTTAAATATTTTTGGATGTTTTTTACATTTTCAAATATATTAATTTCAATTACAATATAGAAAATACAAGGTGTACAGTGCTCACTTTATATTTATTTTTGATTACAAATATTTGCACTGTAAAAAAACCCAAAAGAAATAGTATTTGTCAATTCACCTAATACAAGTACTGTAGTGCAATCTCTTTATCATAAAAGTTACTTACGAATGTAGAGTTATGTACAAAAAAACTGCATTCAAAAATAAAATAATGTAAAACTTTAGAGCCTACAAGTCCACTCAGTCCTACTTCTTGTTCAGTCAATCGCTCAGACAAACAAGTTTGTTTACATTTGCAGGAGATAATGCTGCCCGCTTCTTGTTCACAATGTTCCCTGAAATGGAGAACAGGTTTTCGCATGGCACTATTGTAGCAGGTGTCGCAAGATATTTACATGCCAGATGCGCTAAAGATTCATATGTCCCTTCATGCTTCAACCACCATTCCAGAGGACATGCATCCATGCTGATGACAATCCAAAGCAGCGTGGACCGACGCATGTTCATTTTCATCATCTGAGTTAGATGCCACCAGCAGAAGGTTGATTTTCTTTTTTGGTGGTTCAGGTTCTGTAGTTTCTGCATGGAAGTGTTGCTCTTTAAAGACTTCTGAAAGCAAGCTCCACATCTCATCCCACTCAGATTTTGGAAGGCACTTTAGAATCTTAAACCTTGGGTCGAGTGCTGTAGCTATCTTTAGAAATCTCACGTTGGTACCTTCTTTGCGTTTTGTCAGATCTGCTGTGAAAGTGTTCTTAAAATGAACAGCATGTGCTGAGTCATCAGCTGAGAGTGCTATGACATGAAATATATGGCAGAATGCGGGTAAAATAGAGCTGGAGACATACAATTATCCCCCAAGGAGTTCAGTCACAAATTTAATTAACGCATTTTTTTTTAATGAGCATCATCAGCATGGATGCATGTCCCATGGAATGGTGGCTGAAGCATGAAGGGGCATATGAATGTTTAGCATATCTGGCACGTAAATACCTTGCAATGCTAGCTACAAAAGTCCCATGTAAACGCCTGTTCTCACTTTCTGGTGACATTGTAAATAAGAAGTGGGCAGCATTATCTTCTGTAAATGTAAACAAACTTATTTCTCTTAGCGATTGGCTAGACGAGAAGTAGGACTGAAAAGACCTGGAAGCAATAAAGTTTTGCATTGTTTTGTTTTTGAGTGCAGTTATGTAACAAAAAAAAATCTACATTTGTAAATTGAACTTTCACAATAAAGCGATTGCACTACAGTACTTGTATGAGGTGAATTGAAAAATACTGTTTCTGTTGTTTATCATTTTTACAATGCAAATATTTATAATAAAAAATAATAATATAAAGTGAGCAGTGTGCACTTTGTATTCTGTGTTGTAATTAAAATAAATATATTTGAAAATGTAGAAAAACATCCAAATATTTAATAAATTTCAACTGATATTCTATTGTTTAACAGTGCGATTAAAAATGCTATTAATTGCTATTATGTTTTTTAATCGCGATAAATGTTTTTGAGTTAATAGCGTGAATTAACTGCAATTAATTGACAGCACTAAATAGAGTTAGTACAGATGGGGATACAGGTAGCATTAGTTGGGATCTCAGCACATATTGGGATAACAGGGAATGAAATGGTGGACAAGGCAGCTAAAAGCACTGTAAGAAATGGACGGACTGACACAGAAATACCCTTGAGTAAGCAGCAATTCAAAAGCCTAGTGAAGAAAAATTTAAAAGAGGAATGGCCAAAAATTTGGATCAATGAAAAAAGAGGAAGAGGAATTTTTGAATTGTGTTCTAGAGTTGAGGATAAGGACATACTTCAGGGCCCTGATTGGACAAATTAAGTGATTTTGTTTAGAGTACTGACTGGCCATTATGGCTTAAACAATTTTTTTTTCCGAATAAACAACCACAAAGCTGGGCTATGTGCGTGCTGTAACTGATCACCTTTTATGTGTTTGTAAGGGCTTTGGTAAAGGAAGGGAAAAGTTACATTATGTTATTTAGTAAAAATATGGGGGAAATGCGATTGTATTAGAAAGGTGTTGT